ACTGAAATAAATGTTATGTGAATGAGTCACCAAGATCTTATACGTAAGTGAGTATCGACAGTTTTATTGATAGCACCTCAAAAGGTAATCTAATCTCATTTTAATTGACTTAAAAATAAATTTAATAAATGTTTATTTTAATTTCATGCCTTTCAAATGCAAATGAATGAATAATGTTAACCCTTTTAGAGCAAAACAATTACTGAAAAATTAAATTGTTGAAAAATTAACTACTAATTCAACTAATAAAATAAATGCTCAATAAACCTACATCGCGAAGACAAGTCTTTTAAAATATACGAATTATTAAGGTATACACTAATAACATAAAAATCCAACCTATATGCAAAGATATATCTTTGGAAAAATGCAAAATACTGTAACTACACTTGTAACTTAAAAGCCTTGAAACAGAAAAATTTATAATAAACCTTTAACCCTTTACAAGACATATCTTCATCCTTTCCTAAAAGCAAACAAATATGTTCCCTTATAGTTTAAGAATAAGTTCTTAGGTAAATGCTTTTTAAATCCCCTAACATTTAAAGACTAACCATTGTCCCCACGCCTCTGTTATCTGAAAAACATACAAACAAAGAAATTATCAGTTAAACAGAAATATTTTACAATTGAATCAACCATGAGAGACCCGGAGTTCAGTACGCAAAATGTTGTCGAAGCAAGTAAAACGTAGTCTGCGTTTCAGTAATATCGGATCTCCATGGATTGTAACACAAATTGGATGTAAAAATTATGGAACTCAAGCTGAATTGAATGTAAAATTTTAAATTCAATTTACAAAGAAAAATATGAAGATATTGTATGAAAATTAATAGGAAAGCAAGCCTACAGAATTCAATTTAAAAAATGCACGACCAAGTGAAGAAGTACCGGGTCCCAGCAAACTGGAGTTTGTACGTGGATTTTTACCAGGAGGTAAGAGTTACAACTATTTTAAGAAATTTCGTTAATTTATGTATACGAACTATATAACGATGTCATCATAAAATTTATATAGTTGATATTGTTGCATATAATTAATTTTCTTCTTGCCATCCATCTCTGGAAAGCATTCTCTTATCCGCCACATGAAGACGCACTGGATGCTTACCATAGATAGCTTAACCCAAGGAACAATTAACCTTACTTTATTTTAAATTAATTCACTTCTATCATTTTTCTTCCATCTATAGGTCTCTTCTACAAAAAAGGCTTAAACGATATGATTTTAATTCTGTCCAAAAAATATGGTAATTTATATCGAATACCAGGATTGTTTGGGAATAATACTACCTACGCAACACTTAATCCCAAAGACTATCCTGTATTGTTTCGTAATGAAGGCAAGTGGCCTATACGTAGAGGTTTCAGTTGTATAGAACATCATCGAAAAGTGCATAGACCAGAATTCTTTGAGGACGTAGAAGGATTAACAACATCGTTAGTAGACTGCTCTAATTATAACATAATATTTTTATAATATATAAAATATTTAAAATATTTTATTATATTTCAAGTTCTGGTGAACAGTGGGCTAAAGTACGTACTGTAGTGAATCCAATACTCATGCAACCAAAGAATGCCAAACTCTACTTTAACACGTTGCTCGATGTTAACTATGAATTTTTGGAGAGGTTAGTGTTTAAAAAAAAATATTTAAAATTTACTTTTAATAAATAAATTATTTTTTATTTATTTATTTAAAAAAACAAACAAACTTGCAGAATACGTACTATACGCGATCCTAGCACACAGGAAATGCCTGATGACTTTGAGGATGATATCAATCGGTTGACACTAGAATCAGTCGCTGCTGTGGCTATGAACACACAATTGGGTCTCATTCATAAGAATCGTCATACTGCAGAATCGAAAACTATTATAGAGACAATACGAAGCGTGTTTGAGTTGGCCTATGATTTGGAAATACAACCACCAATCTGGCGATATATCAAAACACCACAATATAAAAAAATGATGAAGTCACTGGATACAATGCTGGACATCTGTAATAAATATATCAGTGAAGCACTAAGCAGGATTGAACACGATGAAAGTGGAAAACTGACAACAGAAGCTGGTAAAGAGAAGAGTGTTTTGGAGAAATTAGCAAAGAAAGACAAAAAAATTGCTGTAGTCATGGCGTTAGATATGATGTTAGCTGGTGTGGATACAGTAAGTATAGAAGAAATACATATATTTTTTTAAATCTGATTTAAATTATTTATATTTGAAGACAAGCACCACAATAACTAGTATATTGATTTGCATTGGTAAGAATCCAGAAAAACAAGCTAAACTATTGGCAGAGATAAAACAGATATTACCGGAGAAGAGTTCTAAACTGACAATCGAGAAAATGAATAATCTGCCTTATTTACGCGCCTGCATTAAGGAAGCTATGCGTCTATATCCTATAGGACCAGGTACGCTGCGCGAAACTCCTTACGAGATCGTATTAAGTGGTTATCGTATACCAGCCGGTGTAGATGTGGTCACAGTAGGAAATTTACAAATGTGTGATGAAGAATATGTGCCACATGCTAAAGAATTCATACCGGAACGTTGGTTGCGAGATGAGCAGGCTGCTAAGTATGCTGGAGATACAGCTAATTCGTTTATGTATTTACCCTTTGGTTATGGGCCTCGCAGTTGTGTAGGAAAGCGCATAGTCGACATGGAACTTGAAATCTCAATTGCACATTTGGTGCGGAATTTCAATATTGAATTCAATTATCCTATAGAAAATGCCTTCAGGCAAAAATTCATTATGGTTCCTAATATACCATTGAAATTTAAATTTGAAGAAAGAAACAATTAATGAATATGTTATTATGTGATGTAATGTTAACAATGATGTTAATGCAAATGTTATATATTCCATTTATTATATTATTTTTCAATTAATTAAAATATTAAAACATTAATAAAAAATATTTTATAATGTTATAAAAATATAATATTATTATATTCACTTATTATAATAGATAAGACATAAAATTAAGAAATGTTTAAAGTTTCGCTACAAACTACTGTATTTCAAATATATAGAAATCGAACTAAAATAAATAAATTAATAGTCGTTTTAGTGAAATATAGATATCCTCTATATGCATTTTTAATGGATAATTTTTAATGGATAATATCTACTATAATACCTTTACCTACTATGCTTTCATGCATCCGTTCTTAAACTTATTTAGGCAATTCTTTATCTAACTTCACTCTAAAGTAAAAACTCACCAATGTTGCAATTCTGAAAGCTTTTTGAATGAAAAGACTCATAAAAAAATTTTATTATTATCGTTACTAAACTTCCTGATTCCAATCTCTACCTTTTGTACACAAAACCCAATTCACCACAATCTCTATTTTGTGTTCTCCAGTATTGTTTTTCAAGCACAATTGCTTTCAGACTACTTTAGTCTCTTCACGTTAGATTGATCATTTGCTTTGATATTTTGTGAACTGTACCATCAAGTTTATGTATTTGGTCAAAGTGAGGGTTCCCTTTTTGTGGCTATCAAGATTTTATACATTCTTGTATAATCTTAATATCTCTCAGTTATATTATTGCTACCAGACAGTATTCTATTGTTTTACATACCTTTTACTTCCCCTTTTTCTACTTCTTTTTTTCCATAATCCAATAACTTCAATCTCACGTTATTGAAAGCTATATGACTGCTGTAACTCAACATATTATGTAGGACTGTAAGTTTGATGTCGTTAGCTCTTTACGTAATAACTACTTCTCTTAATAACTTCGCGTGTAAACTATACGACTGATGTCGTTCTACATATCCTGTGCTATCCTTAATTCAACATTGATCATTCTTCTTCACGTTTCTGACGTTGTTCCTTGACGGCAAATTGCTTATACTACCACCAGACTTTATTTCTTTGTATTACATTTCTACTTCTTCTTCATTTTTATTCCAATAATTTCGCATGTAGTATAGATCCTCTACCACTGTGTCAATATCTATTCTATTCTATGCTATATGACTGATGTAAGTTCAACATTAATTGTTTTTCTTCCAGTATTTCTACACAACGTATGCCCTGATGGTTTAATTTGAAAATATGTTTGATAAGATATAGGCATGGTTCCATTGTGCTCATCTGTGCTCAAACCATTGTCATGTGTATTTCTAAACCACCTCTACTTTTTATTCGATTACTCTCTTCTATAATTCGTTATGGCCACATAGCTTGGACTCCAATATAATAGGTGCACAATATTGAAAAATGGATAAAGCAAGACCTTTTCTATTTCAAAACCAGGTCACTAGCTTTATTGAAAATATTAGAAAAAGTTCTCTTGGTGTCCAGAGATCTTGGCACCTTTTTTTTTTTTGACAGTAGGTGGAAGCATCGAAAGCCACCTCTTAGGAATGAATGGAGAAGATTTCCACAGCATTGTGAAAACTTCATTCCAGTAGATCTTGGCACTGTTAGACTTTACTGTTAAAATATATGGAATCCAAAAACAGTCAAGAAGAATAATACTGTTAATAGCAGCACAATAACAGTGGAGTTGCATTTTGCGAGTGTGGTCTATGGTACGATACAATGAGAAAGTAATTTTAATACAATTAACATACGTGAGAGACCAAGAGAACTTTTATTGATATTATAAAAAGTTCAACTGAAAAACCTGTTAACATTGCAAATTCCATCAGTTCAGTTTGCAAAATGCTCTCGAACGGTTTAAGGTGCTTTCGGTATACGAAATGTTTCCGCGAAGTCGTAGGCCAAAAATATTGCACGGCCTCTGAACTGCAGGTTAAAATATATAAATAACACATAAAATATTTTAAATAAACAGTCATCAATATAATTAAATTGAATTAATAATAAATTATATTTATTTTAAAAGTTATTATAATAATAATAAAATATAATTACTCTCTAACAGAATAAGAGAGAAACTACAACTGCCGCAGAATTTGATTTTAACAGCGCACGCCCATCTGAAGAAATACCGGGCCCAAGTACATTTGAGCTCGTACGTAATATTCTTCCCGGTGGTATGCAAATAAATAAATAAACAATAAAATTCCAATAAAAATAGTATTTTGAAACTTGCTTTTATCAATTTTTCAGGAGTTTTACATAATAAGCCGATAACTGACATGTTGATTGTGTATGGTAAGAAATATGGACAATTATTTCGCATGCCAGGTTTATTTGGTAACAGAGATTTCTACGTGACGTCTAATCCAGATGACTATTCAGTTATATTCCGGAATGAGGGTCAATGGCCAGTACGTCGCTGTTTTGATACATTTGTCTATCATCGAAAAGTGCATAGAGCTAAATACTTTCAAGGCGTTGACGGTTTACTGGCAAGGTGTGTAAATTTCAAATTATTGAATTGCGATCTATTTTAATATTGTAAAATATTTTTCAGTTCTGGAGAGAAATGGTATAACGTACGTAAGGTGGCGAATCCAGTGCTTATGCAGCCAAGAAATGTGCGGCCCTATTTGACGACAATGCTTGATGTAAATGATGAATTTCTAGAAAGGTAAAATATTTAAAAAGTCTAAAAAAGATTCATTAACGTAGATAGTACAAATTTATATAGAAATAATTTTATATTTTACTTTATTTTATTTATTTGTTTGAAATTATAGAATTCGCAAAATACGTAACCCAAAAACGCTTGAAATGCCCGACAGTTTCGAGGAAGAAATAAATCGCTTGGCACTGGAATCAGTAGCTGCAGTGGCACTCAATACTAGATTGGGTCTTATAAATCGAGATGGATTAGAGGGAGATTCCAAAGCAATTATAAGTAACTTACGTAGCGTTTTCGATATGGTAGTTCTGTTAGAGGGTGTACCATTCTGGAAGATACTTAAGACACCTGGCTTTTATAAAATGATGAAGGTTTTAGATGCAATACTTGATGATTGCAATAAATATATAGAATTAGCTCTAGAAAAAATAGAAAAGGACAAAACCAATCGATCAGCAACAGAATTGAATAGAGAGAAAAGTGTGTTGGAAAAGTTAGCACAAGAAGATAAAAAAATTGCTGTAACAATGGCGCTGGATATGTTATTTGCAGGTGTTGATACTGTAAGTTCTTATTCTTATATATTCGTAATATTAAAATTTGGAAAACAAAAAATTTTTACTCTACAGACAAGTTCAGCTTTAGCTGGCATACTGGCAGTTCTTGCAAAAAATCCACAAAAACAGGAGAAACTCTATGAAGAAATGAAGACGATATTACCAGAAAAGCATTCCCGTTTAACAATAGATAATATGAGCAACTTACCTTACTTACGTGCTTGCATCAAAGAGGGTCTACGTCTACATCCGATTTTACCAGGTACAATGCGTCAATTACCACATGACGTTGTACTTAGTGGGTACCGTGTACCGGCTGGTAATGATATTACCACTGCTGGAAATGCACAAATGCGTGATGAGGATTATGTACCACGTGCTAAGGAATACATACCGGAACGTTGGCTACGTAATGATCTCAACAATAAGTACGCTGGTGATATAGTTAGGCCTTTTATGTATTTGCCTTTTGGTTTTGGTCCTCGTAGTTGTGCTGGACGTCGTGTGGTTGAGTTAGAAATGGAGATCACAATTGCACGTCTGGTGCGGAATTTTATTATTGAATTTAATCATCCAATAGAAAATTTGTTTAAGCAGAAAATGATTGTAGTCCCAAATAAGCCGTTGAATTTTAAATTTGAGGAAAGAAAAGAATAAGTGAGATTGGAAGAGGCTGAGCTGATCTAATGTCAAATAAAAACAACAATAAAAATAACGCAAAATTTAAATCGAACTAAGGTGTAGTTTAATTAAAAACAAAAGACAATGCGAATAAAAGCATTGATTCGAAAACTTTCTATCATGAGTAAACCTATTAAAAATATTAAAAGCTACACTTAACTTAAAAATATTCAATTAAAAAAAGTAAAAAGTACACACAAACACTTACACATATATAATTATTTACTTATGCATATACATAATTGGTCAAAACTATGTTGTTGTTGTTGTAGCACGAAAGGTTCTGTAAAACAGATAACATTAAAGAGATCTCAAAGACGTATATATGGGTTTGAATGTGGATTGGTAATGGTGTTATGAGAGGGATAGCGATTATTTAGGAATACGTATAGATTTGGGTATGAGTGAAATTTAAATGGTTGTCATCGCGATTAAGCGGAAAAACCTAACTGTCTTTAGAACCTAACTGTCTTTTGTGTGCATTAGAGCAGCCAAACAGATGGACGATATAATGGCGTATAGGTGGGGATTGTCCCATTTATACGTAACGACTTCAAAATCAGCCGTATCTACGTCCCGACGCCACTCAACAAATTCTACTCCTAAAAGTGACTACACCTCAAAGGTTATAAAAGTTTACGACTAAGTATCTTTATGTTTAAGTTGAATGGCTTAACTGTCTTGAACTATAGTATTAAGCGTAGTCTAACATCAACTAAGGTAACAGCAATTTCTTAGCTATAGAAGTTAACCAAAATGATATCCAGTCTTAACATTTAACCATGATACCATATTTATTCATAAAAAATTTAATATTAATAAAAATAGTTTATTTAAAAATATTGACACTGATGAAATTTTATTATAAATATGTTTAACGTTCGTGAAAAAAATAGCATCCATATTACTCAATCTCTTTTTATATGTACTTATAAAAAAACACATATATATAATTATATAGAAACACATATATAATAAAATATGTGAAAAACATTTATAAAACCAATAATAATAATTAATTTTTTATTCATTATTTATTTATTATATAATTATTTATTTATTATTTATTTATTATGTATATATTATTTATTTATTATGTATTTATTGTGTATTTATTATTTATTTATTATTTATTTGTTAATTATTTATTATTTATTTATTATAAGTAATGAAACTGAGGCATAACAGTTCACTGTTATGTTCAAATGATATTTAACAGAATAACTTTACATATAAAAGCGGCCTTGACGAATATTACTTGTCTGCAAGCTTTAGCATTCATGTGTGAGAATTTTATGTTAACGAAGAGAGATCAAAACAAAATGCAACATGAAACAAAAACAATGAAAAATTAAATTAAATATTTTTTTATGGTTTCTTTGCATTTCTCTGAAACAATAATATTCAATTTTTATCTTATTATTTTACTTATAATGTTTTACGATATTTATATATTACAGTATTTGTCTTTTGAATAAAAACTGAAATTTATTTTTGAAGCTTTTCATATAAATATTATGCGTGAATATATATTAACAGTTGCCACTTAAAAATAATTGATTGAGCTCTGTTATTAAATAAAATACCCGCAAATAATTTAATAAAATTAGCATTTGTCTGTATGAGAGCGAGAAAGCTTTTATTGATGTCATATAAATTATTAGCATTTTTGTTTTGAACTTCCAACAACAACGAACAGCAGTAAATTTCTTTACCCAAAAATTATATATTAATAATAATTTAATTAATATATTAATTACATTAGTAATACATTATATATGTGCTGTACTGTACAGCAATTGGAGTACAGGTGAAAAAAAAACGCTTATATGCATATCGAAAAAAATTCGATTTAGAATTTTTAACAATATTAAATTAATAATTTATTTTCATTTAAAATTTATTATAAAACAATAACAACATTTGGTATGGACCACAGTCGAAGAAAGCAACTGTAATAACGACAAAGCAGAGAAATGTACGGCCTTATTTGACGACTATGCATGATGTAAATGATGAGTTTCTAGAAAGACGAAATATGTAGAAAATTTAAAAAAAGGCCAGTTCATATAGTAAAAGTAATTGCTGTAATTAAATAGATAAAATAAAAAAAAAATCAGGATTAAGACATATTTAAGGGGATTTTTAAAACAAAATTTTGAGTTGATATTACTAATTTTGATATTGATAACTATCATATCGATACAGACAAGTTCATCTTTAGCAAAAATAAAAGAAACTCTTTGAGAAAGTCAAAAATATATTACCAGAGAAATATTTCCGACTTACTATAGATAATATAAATAACTTATCTTACTTGCTTGCATTAAGGATGGTTTACGTCTACATCCGATTATGTCAGGAACATTATGTCAACTACCACATGACATTGTACTTATCGGGTGTCGTGTACCAGCTGGTAATGATATTACAAAAAAAAAAAATTGAATTTCAAGTTTGAATAGAGAAAGGTCTGAGATTTTTTCAAGTATTATAGATATGCATATAATGGAAGTATATGTAAAATGGAGTGCGATTTTCTTTATAAAATACATTTTTCGTGTATCTACCTATATGTATATTATGGAATATTTTATATATAATAGAACGGGTATTCATTTTTCTCAAAAAGTCATTAACTATTCTGCTTTAAATTTGTTGCATTGCCATGTCAAATCTATTCTCTAGGACTTTAACATTCTTGAAGACCTTTTACTTATTTTTTAGTACTATCACTTCTCTAATATTATAATATCACTATACTCCCAATGTAGATTTTGGTACTTAAAATAAATTAATAATCTGATCAGCTGGTGTTACGTATATATTTGGTTCTCAACAAAAGCAATAAAGCAATTAGTGACTTTATAAATAGAATACCGAACTCTGTGAAAAATTTCCCTTATCTCTATTAGTCGGGAAATGGTAATATATTGAAGTGCATCGTCAGCATATCAGTTTAATAACAGCGTTACACCGGACCAGTCGTGTCAGTGAGCATGGAAGAAAAATTAATAATTTAATAAAATATTTTGTATATATATAAAATTGCTTTTAGTAAAAAAAATAAATTAAAAACTTAAAATGTTTATATCAAAAATTGCGAATGTAAACAAGCAATTACAAATCATCAACATAAAGCGTTTCTTATCGCAGTCACAATTGAGAGAGGTTCGTAATTAAATTAATTAAGATATTTATTATTATTTATT